CAGGGAATGTCTGTCCTAAAGGAAAACAAACACTTAACATGCACTCACACACGAGCAGGAGGACCCACGTGAAATGTAACAGTTGGTCAACAGAAAGCAACAGTGAGTGGGGAACGAAGGGTCTTCAAGCTAGCAGACCAGAAATGTCAGATGATTTGAAGAAGTGTTGTCTGCTTTCAGTAGGAGGCCTGAAGGGAACATTGCATCTTATATTCATGGGCTTGTACAGTGTGTACTTTACATTTTGTACAAATGTGTTTTGAATTATAAGCTTGTCATGTTACACTAGATTTAAAGGGAACAATAGATTATAAAAGTAATAGCATCAAACAAAGAGTTGAGAGCTGGTGATTTGGTGTTTGCCCCGTAACTTCTTAGCAAAGCTGTGGTCTGCCTAATAGACCCTCTGGATCTCCTCCCTACCTGTAGCCCGACGGCCTGGGGCCGTTCCTGATATCTGCCACAGGCCACTGGAACAGGAGGCTCTGTGGCTTCCCTGTGTCCCCCACAGTTGGGGTGAGAGTAGTGGACCAACCCTCTGGAAGAGAAGAACATTCCCCTTCAGGGTACAAGAAAACCGTTGGGAATAGGATATTTTCAAGAACGGTGATTTTCAGTTAATTTAATTTTCTGATTAACTGCAGTGACTTTGGGCCCTTCTACCCACTGAGCCTGGTTTAGGTCATCTGAAAAAAAAAAAAAAAAAAAAAGGTTGGGGTACTTCATGACCCTGGAGTCCTGCCAGCCCTGGAATTCTACAATTATATGAATTGAGCACAAGGAATGATTTTGTTTCGGCCTTTGTGTATTAAAAAACTTAGAATTTATGGGTTTACTGTTCTACTATAGCAAAAACTGTGCCCTGAATACAACCACATGGCTCTGTGTGTGTGTGTGTGTGTGGTGAAGAGTGGGTGTGGCTTAGGGGAAAGACAGGATCTATAGCCAATCCTAGTGACTAATAGTGTGACCTCAGGCCAGTTATTCCACCCTTCTTGGCCATAGTGTCTCTGTCCCCATCAATGGGGACAATGGTATTCCTTGCAACATTATTACTGTAGGAATATTGGTAAAAGATCAACATATGGTAACTATAATATATATATATTTTTTGAGACAGAGTCTTGCTCTGTCACCCACACTGGAGTGCAGTGGTGTAATCTTGGCTCGCTGCAACCTCCACCTCCCAGGTTCAAGCAATTCTCCTGCCACAGCCTCCTGAGTAGCTGGGATTACAGGTGCCTGCCACTGTGCCTTGCTAATTTTTGTATTTTTTAGTAGAGACAGGGTTTCGCCATGTTGGCCAGGCTGGTCTCAAACTCCTGACCTCATGATCTGCCTGCCTCGGCCTCCCAAAATGCTGGGATTACAGGCGTGAGCAGGTAACCATGATATCTTAAGAGATTTGGAGTCAGTTCTTGAAGAATATTTTTCGTCACCTAGGTAAGACTTAATAGTAGTGGGGTAGCTTGTGCAGTGTAATTTATGGAACGCAGCCTCAATACATTGAGGCAGGGTTTCCCTTTGGCCCTATGCACGTGCTACTCCTCTACACTGAATACCCACGGAGGGGTTTTTCTTTTGAATCCTGACTGTAGCTTTTTACTCTGATGATTTTTCTCTTTCTTAAAGTTAGAGCACAGCTAAAACATGCTGGCTAAGTGATCCTAGTAAGTGGAAGTTTCTACTGTATGATCTGTGCACAGACACCATGCCGTTTATTCACAGATGGTGTTCAAATTAAAAGCTCACCAGGAGTCAGTAGCCACAAAGATGACTTTGGAGCAGGTTCCCTCTCTTCTATTGTTCCTTTTCTCCAGCCAAGTTTCTCTTCTCTGCCTCTTTTTTCCTCTCTTACCTTTTCACCATTCTCTTTTCTCTTTTCTTCTTCTTCTGATCTTCTGATTTTAGTGTTGTCGTCTTTCCAACTTTGTGCTGTGCATTCTGCAGTAGTTTTTTTTTTTTTTTTGAGACAGAGTCTTGCTCTGTTACACAGGCTGGAGTGCAATCACACGATCTCAGCTCACTGCAACCTCCGCCTCTTGGGTTCAAGCGATTATCCTACCTCAGCCTCACACCCGGCTAATTTTTGTATTTTTAGTAGAGACAGTGTTTTACTGGTCTCAAACTCCTGACCTCGTGATCCACCCACCTCGGCCTCCCAAAGTGCTGGGATTACAGGCATGAGCCACCATGCCCAGCCTCTGCAGTAGTTTTATTTCTCACTTTTTTGCTACGTCTTATTCCACCCCCTCCACCTTTCCTTTCTGCTCTCTATCCTTTTCCTTCCATTTACCCACAGTCCCTGCTGGGAGGCCTTTTCTATTAGATATATAGCAGAAAGGCGAGTCAGCTTTTCTTTGAATTTAGGAAAATGGGACTCACAGTTAACTTCAAGGGCTGAATTTCCAAAGGCCACTGTCAGAGAGCCCAGCTGCTGTGGAATGAGAGCTATCAGGATGAGCCCTAGCAACTGCCTAGGGTTGTGGTGACTCCAGAGACACCAGGATTCCAACCAGTCAAGGAATCACTAACACGGATTGGTTTTTCATATCAACTGTCACCCCCACATCTAAGCCTGAGTATGAAGCTCATCTCTATCAGTTATCAGCCGACTGACCTTGGATAAATTACTCAACCTTTTTGAGTTTCAGTTATTGGGTAAAAAGATATAGCTGCTATGCCTTCTAGAGTCATATCACAGATTAAATGAGATCACATATGTAAAGTGCATTTGGGGAACACTGAAGTTTCTCTACAGTTTCTGCATCTTGGCCTAAGATTTTTAATACCTTAGGAAATTTCTGTCTATCTTCTGGGTAGTTTAGGGTTAGCATGGCTCAGGGACCTACCCCGATCCTCTTGTCCTGACACCATTTGAGTTGGAAATAAGGTGGTGCTCAGTATTATGCTGTATACCGCTGTTCTTGGCACCCTTAAATCAGCCATACTCAATACCCCCAATATTCCCATTTGATTCACTAAGGACTCAAGCTGTCAAGTACAGTAGAAAAGGTAACTTTTTTTTTTTTTTTGCAGAAAACTGCAAGCTCAAAACCAGTTTTAAACCTCATTCCAGGTCTGCTTCAAGGAGTGTTCTCAAGTTGGAGTGATTTTGCCTCTTAGGGGACGTCTGACATGTCTGGAAATATTTCTGACTGTCACAATTTTGGGGGAAGGCTGGAATGGTGCTACTGGCCCATGATGAGTGGAAGCCAGGGATGCTACTGAATGCTCCACAATGCAAAGAATGCACCTGTTCAAAATGTCCACAGTGTGGCGATTGAGAAAGCCTAGTTTAGAGGCAGGTGGTTGGACAAAGTCATGTTGGAAGTAGGGGGATCCTCTTGGCTTTAGAATCTTACTGTTTATTGAGACTGAGAAAAATGTGGTAGAGGAGGCATTCAATGGGATCTGCAAACCTTTTAAAACTGAGCTGCTGTTATGAATTCAGAGAAGCATGTTTGTCTTCTAGACAAAAAGATGTGAGGCCTCTTGCATGCCAAAAATTTGTTCAGGGTTTGCTATGCGGCAGCAGGAGAATCTGTCCATAAAAGGGATGGACTTTGCTGCCCAGAGGGATTCCCTTCAAGGGTTTCCCTTGTGAGCCTGAAAAATCACTGGGAAAGGGCAAGGCTGGCCAGCTTCCCTTTCCAGCCCCTCACCAAGGCATGTTTATATTTCTCCAGAGGTGAGAGTGAATCAGCTTTAGGGAAGGGAAGGCACTCTAGCCCTAAAAAGGGGTTGTTTAGAAATCATCTTCTTGTTTCTTGGATATGAAGATTAACCAGCTTAGCTGGGAAAGGCCTTTGAGAAGGGAACCTGGGTTTAATACTCAGGGGAAGCTGAGAGAAAGGCCTCATGGAGGGTGGAGAGCGCCTGGGGTTGTGGCTCAGGAAGATATGAGTCTGAACCTCAGCTCCTCCAGTCTGGACTGACTCTGTGACCTTGGACAAAGAAAGGAAAAATAACTAAGATGACAGCACAACTTCTGTGTGCTAGACTTGATGGTAGTGCTGCATATGCAATATGATTTCACTTTGTTTTTACAACAGCACAACGAAGTAGTTTAGCTAAATCGTATAGTCAGTAGCTGGCTAAAGGACTCTTGGGTTGTTTGACTCCAAGTTCCACGATTCTTCTTCTGTACCACACTACCTCCCAAAGCCCTTAGCTTCCTTTTTTTTTTTTTTTTTTTTTTTTTTGAGACGGAGTTCGCTCTTGTTACCCAGGCTGGAGTGCAATGGCGCGATCTCGGCTCACCGCAACCTCCGCCTCCTGGGTTCAGGCAATTCTCCTGCCTCAGCCTCCTGAGTAGCTGGGACTACAGGCACGCACCACCATGCCCAGCTAATTTTTTGTATTTTTAGTAGAGATGGGGTTTCACCATGTTGACCAGGATGGTCTCGATCTCTTGACCTAGTGATCCACCCGCCTCGGCCTCCCAAAGCGCTGGGATTACAGGCATGAGCCACCGCGCCCAGCCAGCCCTTAGCTTCTTTAAGCCTCAGTTTCCTTGCTTGTTAAATGGACACAGAGGAAGATTAGGAAAGTGAATTTAGAACAGTCCAGGAGGCTTCGGCCAGTACTCCTCCAGGGGGAGCTCAGCATTCCTTCCTTTTTTCTACTGCCCTCTCCTTCCTCTTCTGAGGTTGGATGGCCTTAAAAACATGTATCAGCCATTTACACCCAAGGGGACATCAGTGTGCTGAGATCAAGGTCCTGCACCTATCCATGGGGCTGGCTTCTGCATCTTTCTCCTCCTCCTGCAAAGACCGATTCACGAATCGGTCCACCCCCTGAGTCAGAGTATGCCCAGAGACTCCAGCACAGCCACATGGTAGAAGATTTATGGGCAGAAAAAAGAAAGTGAGGTATCAAAGGACAAAAAGGAGAACACTGGTAGACAGCTGGCAATCCCAGCAATCACAGTAAAAAAAAATTTTTTTCATCAGTTGTATTAGTCAGGACTTTACAGTTGCAAACAACTGAAACAGATGTGGTTGAGTTCAGCAGAAAAAGCATTTAATAAAAGGGTATTGTGTATTTCACAGGCTTCAAAACAAGGCTTAAGAATTGAGCAGGAGCAAATAAGCCCTGGCAGCCGCCAGGACCACAGCCAAAATTTTGCTCCAGAGCCCATCTAGGATAAAGCTGGACGTCACAGCTTGCCCCTGATGTCACCAGTCACTCTGCATCTGGTACTCTTCAGCCACTGTTGTCACTAGAAAGTCCACATTGTTGACAGTGCTGTGAACAACCTCCAGAAATGTTCCTCCTCCTCACAGTTTCCTTGTCCCACTAGAGGGGTGTATCTGACAAAGAGCTCAGTCATATTCCGAACCCCAACTGCAAAGGAGGCTGGGAAATGAGCCTTCCACTTCTACAATGGGAAGCAAGTTTTGCTTCTCATCAAGATACATAAGAAAAGAAATCTAGAAACCTGAAGAGGGTGCAGAATCTTAACCATTAAATAAAAAAGAAAACTAATAACAATAATAATTGACAAAGATCTGTTCCATGGGTTCAGATTCTATTGATGTTAGTAAGAGACACGTGCTTTGCAGGGCAAACAGGCGATCACAGCACATGTGACTAATCTTCTGCTCTTCAGGATCCTCTAGTCACACACCCACATCCATCTTTGCTTCTTGGTCCTGTCAAAGAACAAAATTTAACAATTGGAGTTTTAAAGATCAAACTATCAAACTAGCTTTTGTCAGTTCATGAACTGAGCAGCATCTAGTCTACAAAATAGACAGGAGCTCTGCCAGGCATGATGGGAACAGTCCATTTTTATAAAGTAGTTTGAGCAGGAGGAACAAGGAAAGTCCATTTTTATAAAGTAGCTTGAGCAGGAGGAACAAGGGAACAGCACAGGGCAAAAAGCGCATTGGTTAATATCAGGTTACTTTCCTTGTACGGATTAAAGCAGAGGGGACTTCCTTCTCATGCCAGCTCAGGTTGGCTGGTTGCTGTGAATCACATGGGTTTTTTTGAGGGATAACTGACCTGTCTGGGGGTTTGGCTATCATCTCTCTCTTGACTTCTCAGGTGAGATCGTACAAGTAAACAGTTTAGTTCAGTTTGGTGAATGGGAACATTAGCGTAAGTGACTCCATTTTGGGTTGGTCTGTTGAGACCTAGTGCAGAAGAAGCTCATCCCAAATCATTGGTCTTCCATAAGTTTTCTTTCATTTTGCTAATGAGTAGATTTTAGTCAGACACGTTGAGATTTATGAGTGATCCTGAGGAAGTAAACCATCCAAGTCCGTGTTATGAATTTCCTATTTTTGGTGATTTTTCTTTGCTAACATTAGTCACTTTACGTATGTCCTGTTAACTGCCAACCTATTTTCTTTGTATTCAGCATGGAGAAGAGTAAAATCTAAAAAGAGAATGGCTGTGAGTTCCCTTGTGCTATAATATTTAATGTAGAGAATGATGTTGAGCCTATTTTAGCCTTGACCAACCTGTTTCCTGGATTAAGTCTTTGATCTGATAAAAGAAAAACTTCAGCTGAATTAACTTTAAAAGAGTTGAATTGAACAATGAACGATTCATAAATCGGTCAGCCCCCTGAGTCAGAGTATGCCCAGAGACGCCAGCACGGCCATGTGGTAGAAGAAGATTTATGGACAGAAAAAGGAAAGTGAGGTACAGAAAACAGAAGTGAGTTACAGAAACAACCTGCCTGGTGACAGTTTGCCTTATCTGAACACAGTTTGGACAGTTGGCTACATTTGATTGGCCAAAACTCGGTGATTGGCACAAGTGTAGGCTATGGTCTGTTTATGTCTCCACTTGTTACAGTTGATGATGCACAGAGAGATTTTTAGGCCAAACTTGATCGAACAGATCTGTGATGATTCTTAAGCAGTCACCCCCATTCTTCTTAATTCAAAGTCAGCGTTAGACTGGAGAATATCTGAGGGAAAGGACCAGTGTTTCCAACAGCTGCATTTGGGATAGAAAGATCTCTAGACTGTTCCTGTCCCTGTTTTTCTATCCCTTGAGGTTAATTCATTTGGCCCTTTCACAAAGCTCTGATTAAAATACAAAAATCATAGGAGGGACAACAGATAAAAGATATCTTTTTTTTTTTTTTTTTTTGACACAGAGTCTGGCTCTGTGCCCAGGCTAGAGTCCAGTGGTGTGATCTTGGCTCACTGCAGCCTCCTCCTCCCAGGTTCAAGCGACTCTCATATCTCAGCCTCCTGAGTAGCTGGGACTACAGGCACTTGCCACCACGCCTGGTTAATATTTGTATTTTTCATATAGAGGAGATTTCACCATGTTGGCCAGGCTGATCTTGAACTCTTGGCCTCAAGCAATCTGCCCATCTCACCCTCCCAGAGTGCTAGTATGACAGGCCTGAGCTGCCACGCGTGGCCAAAAGACACCATTTTTAACACCTTCAAGGAGTGAGATTTTAGGTAGTAACCAGTACTTACGTAGCACTACAGAGTGCTTCCTGCACACTTTAGCACATTCTTCTTCTCACAAGCCCTGTCATAGAGCAGTATTATTACTCCTTTTCTACAGATGAGGAAAGGGACAGAAAAATCAAATGACTTGCCTGTGGTCACCCAGCTAGTAAATGGTGGAGCTGGGACTCAAAATCCCAGAGGTGGTTTCCAACGTGTCCTCTGCTGCCTCTCACCTCGAAGAGTGCTGACACAGGGCACAGGACAGGTGCTCAAAAAAGGAGAAGGCTATGGCATGCAGCCCCCAAGGGCAGGCTCAAGTCCAGCTGGGAACTGTGCCTGCGAGGGGACACACGAGGAAGATTTGAAGGGCTGGCACAGCTCAAGTCTCCCCCTGGCCAAGAGCCTCCCTGCTTCCTGCTCAGCAGGGCACAGCCCTCTTGTACAGACGGCCTCTGCCACAGGACACTGCCTTCTGAAGAAGTCACCAACATTTTTTATTTCTGATAAAACCAGCAGATTTTCTTTCTGCTACCTTGAAGTCCAAGGAGAAAGGCAGAGGACAAGGACAATATCAAGAGGATCTGTGAGTGAGGTTTACAGAGGTGGAGAATTACTTGCTGCCTATTGGAAGCAAAGATAGCAACATGTGTAACAGTAAGAAAAATCCCTGCTAAGAGAGAAGGAAACCTGCTGAGGCCAAATCTAGACTCTGGATGGAGAGTCAGATGGGACTTATGCTCCTGGATGGCGGGATCTGTGGACTTTGAGGCCCAGCGTACAGTCCCTTAAGAGAGGGATTCCCAGAGCACACGTAAACAGGCACAGTCACAGATGAGCGAGCAGAGGACATGAGGAGACTGCTGCCTGGGGAATGTCTTAGCTCTGAAGGGAATCTGAAACTTCAGTTCTGGGAGCCTGCCCCATTCACAGAATAAAGCCTGAATTCAAACCAGGATTCAAATCCCATCTTCATTCATTCTCTGTCTCCCTGCTTCCTCCCTCCCTCCCTCTCTTTCTCACAACATTCCCAGTGTTTGCCTCTAAATATAAATCAAATATCCAGAAACATTAGAGGACAAGTAAAGGGAACTGAAAGAAACAAAATCACACCAAACAACGCTTTCGTTTTTCCAATCAGACCAGGCACTGCTGGAGAAAAACAGAAAGGCTCCTGACAAATCCATCATGCAAGGATTGCAACTTCCTAGTTCTTTTCATCCTCACAACAGCGTCAAGAACTGTCCACAGAAGGGTTTACAAGCAGTAACGCAAGCACCGCACCGTGATGCAAGCTCCCCGAAAAGCCCAGACTTACGGTACTTTGATAACAGATCGTATCTCATAAATGTCTTCTCTCTGCCATCCAGTCTTTGGAAGAGACACAGAAATAGCAAGATGGATTAGTCTATTTATAATTTTTTTGGTCTTACTCATCTTTTAGAATAAAAAACATTAAGCATTGACTGGTTAATACCATAATTAGGAACAATACAAGTTATAAAATAGCAATAGAAATGATAATTTTGGATTAAAATAGGCTCTTGGCTCTCACGGTTCCTAAGATTTTATATGTCAGACACGCTGGAATTTGCGTGGGGGTTGAGGAGGAAACTTCCAGCTTTAGATTATGTGGGCCCAAAGGAAAAGCTGCTCCTCCCAGCTCCCACCTGCCCCTCCCATCCAACCGATCCTACTTCCCTGCTCATCTGCTGCCACTGCCAGCATCTGGTCTACTGCCTTTATTACCCTCTTTCCATGCTGTCTAACCTAGACATCTCTGATTCCATTTTTTTTTTTTTTTTTTTTTTTGAGACAGAGTCTTGCTCTGTCCCCAGGTGCCAGGCTGGAATGCAGTGGTGTGATCTTGGCTCACTGCAACCTCTGCCTCCCAGGTTCAAGCAATTCTCCTGCCTCAGCCTCCTGAGTAGCTGAGACTACAGGTGCACGCCGCCACACCCAGCTAATTTTTGCATTTTTAGTAGAGACGGGGTTTCACCATGTTGGCCAGGATGGTCTCGATTTCTTGACCTCATGATCCACCCGCCTCAGCCTCTCAAAGTGCTGGGATTACAGGTGTGAGCCACCACTCCCGGCCTCTGGTTCTATTATTAACAGCACAGCTCACCCATGTTACAGCACCTTCCTCCTCCACAGCTAACCTGCCATTTTAGCCTCCCAGCTGGAGCTCCTCCTACCTGCCTGAAGCTTTGCTCCATCAGTTTCCACACACACTCTCTCTCTCTCATCCTCTCTTTGACTCTACTACTGGATCTTGCTCCTCTGTAATCATGCTCAAGTTTCTACTATCCCAAACCAGCCAATCAATAAAAACAAACATAATAACATTCTTCTTCCAGTGTCTCTCCCTAAAGCAAGTTTCCCTGCATTCTTTCTCTTCACCATCTTTTAAACTTTTAAAAGTCAGCTTGTCATCTGCTTCCTTTCTGATACCACCCACGGCATTCTTAATCCTTGCAGTCTGGCTTCAGCTCTGAATGCTCCGTAATAATTTTATTAAAGATCAGTGATCAGCGAGTTACTGAATGCAGTGTTTTATTTTGTCATCATTTTGCTTAATTGCTTTACATGACCGACCCTTGTTCCTCCACTCCTCACCATGCCCCGCTGTGAAATTCTCACCTCTTTGGCTTCCTGATAATGTGCTTTTCTTATTCCCCTTTGACCCCTGTGTCTCCTTCACTTCCTCTTTTTTTTTTCCAGCTCCAAATTTAAGTTTTTTCTACGAATCTGCTGTTGATCTTTTTTTTTTCATTCCCTCTTCTCTCTGCTCTCGTGGTGAATTCACTCAGTCTCATGTTTAATTCTTCCTTCTTTGTGACACGTTTCTGAAACCTCCTCTTTCCAGTGTGGCTTTACTAACTCCTTGCTGGAAGTTTCCACCCACATATTCTACAGTGTGCTGATCTTAATGGGTTTCAGACTAAATTAATCCCTTACCACCCTCATTGTTAATTTTTTCCAATTTCTATTCATGAAAATGTTTCTAATTGCACCAGCTTAAAAGGCTGATAAAAATCTTTCATTCTTTCCTCTTTTCTTGTCCCACGTCTGATTGGTTGTTAAGTCCTATCAATTTTGTTGAAAACATCGTTTTTCTGTTTGTTGTTTTCTTTTTATTTCCACGGATACCCCTAGAGTTCATGATTTAACTTTCTCTTACCTTATTTAATGCAATAATTTCCTAGCAGGTCTCTCTGCTTCCAGTCTTACCCTACTGAGCTGCAACTTAACCTGACACACTGCTGTACATCAGTCTTCGTGAAGCACACATCTAAGCCGGGCATTTTCCTGCCCAAATAATTTCAATGGCCACCCAATGCCTAAAGCTTACACAATGCATTTAGGGACCTGCCATGTTCTGAATGTTTGTGTACTGGTGAAATTCATATGTTGAAACAATCCCCAATATGATAGTATTAAGAGGTGGAGCCTTTTGGGAGGTGATTAAGCTGTGAGGGCAGAGCCTTCATGAATGGGATCAGTGCTCTTATAAAAGAGGCTTAAGGGATACTGTTTGCTTTTCTACCAAATGAGGACTCACAGAAGGCACCATCTATAAGGAACAGGCCCTCACCAGACACCAAATCTGCCAGTACCTTGGTCTTGGACTTCCCAGGCTCCCGAACTGTGAGAAATAAATTGATGTCGTTGATAAATTACCCAATCTAAGGTGTTTTGTTACAGCAGCCTGAATGGACTAAGACAGGTTCTCTACCTCTGCCCCCAAATGACCCTTCCAATTTTATTTCTCAAGAGTTTTTGTTTCCCCCACCAGTTCTTTATTGAAGCTACCCCCACACAATCCCATGCTATATTTTTATATCTAAAGAGAGCCAGTAACAAAAATCCTCTAGGTGAACTTAATCAATAACTAAATGTATTGTCACACATAAGCAATTCTCAAGCAGGATGTACCCAGGCCTGGATGTGCCCTCTAGCTGTGCTTCTTAGCAAATCTCTTGGCAGGAGTGCATGTTCCTTTGCTGATGATCTCCTAGCATTCTGGAACTCACACGGCACTGATCACAGTATGCTTTGTGTTCGAATTACCTGTTACACATCTCACTCCTACTGGGATTACAGGGGCCTCCAGTTAATTACACCCTTCTCCTCTCCACTTGAGCGCTGAACCAGAGAGGGGAAGGAGCAGCAGATAGGATCAAAACACAATGCTTTATTATTGATAAAACTATTTCTGAAGGAAGTAGCTTTGTTGTGCTGCAATTATAGGCTTCCTAATGCAAGAGCAAAGGGCAGAGGGGAGGAGCCCCAGCCACATCTCTAGATCCGTTCCTCTCTGAAAAGTTACATCTAGGTAACTCACTCCTCCATGGAGATGAGTTAGGGTGGGACAAAAGCCCAGAGGTGTTTAGGGGGAAATATCTTTCTAGAAACCACAGAAGTGTTTTTAGAATTCCCAAATCCTCTTGAAAAAACTATGGACTTCTTAAAGCTGGGGACTATATTTTGTACATCTTTTTATCCCCCAAAGCAATATCCATATTGGGTGTTTAATAATGTCTGCTAAATGATATTAAATTATATAATGTCATAATTGTTATATAGAAGTCACTATATAATAATTATATAACATTCAGTCTGTATAACCTAATTTATATGGTATAAATTTGCTACATTATAATAATATAAAATATGCATAGCATATATTGCATAGTTATTTATATTAATCCATTATGTTAAACTTTAAAAGCCTGTTAATATACAGCAGTGACATTACTGGAGCCTTACAGGGTTGATACTGGTCATCACAGAGGAAAACAAATTATTCTTGAGCTTCCATAGCATGAGGAGAGGTTCACAGAGGAAATAGACACACTTCTAATTTCTTTGGTTATCCAGAGGCTATCATCAAATTAAAACAATGTTTCCTATAAAGAGTTATTTCTTAAAATCCTATCCAAGCTGCCGGATTTTTATTTCTCTCCCAAATTCATGAGGAAACGTATTCATTCTGGTTTCTAAGAGTGCACCTCTTTGTTCTGCTGTTTATGGTTGTTGCTGTTTTACTGTGAAAATGCTTTCATCAAAGTGTCTTCACAAGTGCACACATGGTGAGACATGGCTATTGGGGAAGAGAGTGTAAGTGA